GAAACTTAATAATTGCATGTCTACAAAATCTCTAATGTTAAATTCATTAGAATCTAGAGGAGGCATTGCTATAGTGCTCCAATTTAATTGCATTTCATTCAAATTAGGCCATCCCTGTTTTGTTCTTGCTAATATTCGTATATCATATTTAGCTCCTGGTATTAAATCTACAAAATATTAATTTTATTAATCAAGTACTTATAATAATTTAAAAAATTTAGATTTAATGAAACTTTATTATTGTTAATCTTAAAAACATACCAGAAAGTATATAATGTTCAGTGGTGGCAGGTAAAAATAGTACTCTAGATGATGGATGTTGATGAAGTCTCCACTGTAATTTATATTCTACCACAATACCACGAGATTCCCTTTTTGTTAAAGACTCCCATGATACATTTAACTTTGTACTACTAATAACATTCATACTTATTTTCGGTGTGGTTTTAGGAACTAATTAAAATAATTAATCTTACTTTAGTCTATGGTACATAGTTTTAGTTACTATAATTTATCAAATTACATATTTATTTTATTACCAAAAAAATAAATAGTAATATTTTTTAAATATGCATACCACTTGGAGCTGTAGAACACAAGATGGTGGCAGACTGATCACTAGCGCCATATATGTTCCATACTCGTACGTAAAAAGAATAATTTGTAAATGGTTCTAGAAGTTTTGTTACTTCTACAGATGTGGAATTGCCTGGCTCAGGAGGAGAAACTTCTTCTTTACCACCTTCTTTTTAACAAAAATGATATATAATATAACTTACAAGCTCTTATTGATAGAATTCTAAAATTTTTAATTTATTACAACTTTTGATTTAAATATATATTTCATTATAAAACTTACCAACAGGGCTATAATGGACGGTATAAGCTGTAATACTGGTATACGGTAGAGACTTTGGTGGTTCCCATGAAATAAAAATTCTAACTGGGGACACAGCATGACATTTTAAAGAGGTAGGTGCAGCAGGACTATTACGAGATGAGTTTACTTGAAGCCGACCAGCAGCCCATATTTCTCCTGCTGAATTTACAGCTACACATTGATACAGACCAGAATCTGATGGAACTGTTGCCGATATTGCCAATTCCATTTTGTTGAATTCTTTGATATAAGTTGTTCGACGTCCTATAATTTACAATATTATTTTTTATGTTGTATAAATATTTAAAGAACTTTGTTACAATAATAATACTTTAATATTTTTACCATTGACTGTAATATTTAGAGAATCCTTTAGCCAATAAATTTGTGGTACAGGTAAACCCTGCGCCTGACATTCAAATCTTGCAGTTCTTCCATTTGGACAAACTTGATTCATAGGAGTTTTCAAGAATGATGGAGGTACCAATATATTTACAGTTATATTCTATAACAATTTAAATAATAAATTTGATAAATATCAAAAAATAATTATATACATATAAATATATAGCTTCATACATACCTGAATTTCCAAATCATTTGTAATTGAATTTCTTGAAGAACAAAGATAGATACCAGCATCAGAAATGCTTACATTTTTTAATTCTAGTATAGCAATGCCAGTAGTAGAATTAACAAGAATGCGAGGTTGTGGAACATTGCTGTTACCTTGAAATGAGTAACTTGATGTAATGGCAGTATTTATGATTTCTAGAAAATGATAAAAACTTTTATAATTACATACCTGCAAAGCGAGGTATGAAAGTCCATGTTATAAGAGGCAATGGATAACCAGATGCAGCACATGCTAGATTAAGGCTTGATCCATTAAGTAGCCAATGATTATATGACATTTGTGGAAATAAAGATGATGATTTATATGATTTTTCACCCTTTGATCTAGCAATAACAGTCAGTTTTGCCTCTATACTTTTTTTGGTTTTCTTTAGGAATTCATTAGTCACTACACATCTGAAATAAAAAAACGAAAAATATCTTAATACCATTATAATATATGAGCAATAACAGTATTTATACTACTATTGCTCATATAGTAGTATTTATAAGTTTTATTATTATTTTAAACCTATAAGAACCAGCATCTGATAATTGTGTTGTACTTATATACAGAACACCTGGTGATACCATTGAATATCTGCAATATCAAAGATTTTCATGAATATATATTCAAAATATTAATAATTATTTTAGTTTCCATGTATTAAGTATTACTAACTTTGAATTATTAAGACTAAGCTGAACCGATTCTCCATTATGTTCCCATGTAACATTAGGTGGAAAGGGAACACTATTTATAATACAAGACAATCTTACTACTTCACCTTCTTGGACAGTTATATTCTCTGGTGATTCTTTAAATACATGGGCAAGTTCTATAATATCAAAATGTACAAATATTAAGTTTTTTATCTAAAGAACCAATAATATATAGTATAATTATTATTATAGCCAACTTACCTGCTATTTCAATGAATGTTGGCGATGATCGCAGTAGTCCTCCAAAATCAGTGCGTGTTATACAGCGATATTCATCTTTAATATGATTCTTAATATTAATAAGGCTGGTATTTTCTTTTTCTTTGAACTTTTGTGACTTTTGGAAATTCTGTTTCTGCAAAGAATAATTTTTTATACAAATTACATTTGTTGCTCCTTATTTTAATTAATATCTTATATCTAAATTTATAAATACCTTAATGAAAAGAAGAGATCCATTACGTTGTAAATTGCATCGGGTAGAACCACATGGTGGTACTGGTTTTCCATTATGTAACCAGGAAATATTTTGATTCGTACCAGCTATACAATTAAGTGTTATCGCTTTTTTACCCAATATTACATGTCCACTAGGTTGTATTTCTATTGTTGTAGCAGAACCTTTTGTTGAATCTGCATCAGAACCATCCGATTTAGATACATTTCTATTATTTATACCTGTTCCAATACCTTTGACACCTGTAAAATATAATTAATCATTTTTTAATCTATTTTAATATTAAAAAAATGTTTAATTTAAATAAAGAAAATTTTTTATTTAATATAAATCCAAAACAATAAAATAATATTTTCAATTATCCAAAAGTTTAACGAAAAAAAAAATAATACGTGGGTGAAATAAAATAAATAAAAAAAAGAAAGCAAAGTGTGTAATTCGAAGAACATGACACACGATTACAAGTATTTCCGCAATTTATGAATTGCCATGCGACATCGATGAGTGTAAACAAACAGAGCTGATGGCAACAGTAAAAGACGCACCTGCAGCACAAGCGGGCTTTAGTACTTCTGTAAACAAGATACTAAGTAAAAATACTCGCGCCGCCATATATTCACGCTCATTGGCACCGGTTTCACTGACAAATCTTAGCCGAAACACGCCGTCGTATAGCGAGACTCTTCAGAAAAAATCTTCGCTGCATGTTTGACATCGTAAGAAGGAGTGTTTTTGGCCGGGCCTGCTTTTTGAGCAGCTACTTAAGAAATTCTTTTGACTTCATAAATGCTTGTCTTTTCACATGATTAACAAAAATATGTTATTCATCGCGTCGTTGTTAAAAAAATGAAACCGGCGATAGTCAATTAGTTTGACTGCACGTTTGTCGTCGTAAATGCAACCACACCAGTAACGCCTGCCTTCGTTTTGCGTTAGCACGCGATTCGTTCGTCCCTTGCCATCTTTCTCGGCTCCCTCCCACCCAGAATCCAAGCGCCGAAGAAAATGATTCAAAATTCTTCACCACGACAAGTACGACAGCGTCATCGTGTGGCCAATAGTAGAAAATAAACCAAAGTCATACTATCTCATTCTCTTGGATTCGATCATATTATAGAAATCGGGTCAAATAGAGCGGTTTTATATCCTCCAATCAAAGACCTTGACGTATATAGAGCACACGTTGATTGGTACATTTTAAATATTGATTAATCTAATACAATCTAATTGCAGAATCAATTTGATACAGTATTTCTATTATAATTATTAAATATATGTTCCTAATCTTGCCTGATTTTTAGAGATGAAAATGTGATTTATACGTGTAACTATTTGTATCTATCTTATTGTATAATCGTTACAAGATTGCACAATTGAGTTGTCTTGATATTTACATTTGGAGCGCAATGAAGGTGGTTAAATTACGTAGTTAACGACGTAGTCACTTGGATCGCTGTAATCGAAAAATGTTATTGCGTTTCAAAATATTTTCAAAAATTGCTTGCGAGAGAAGCAACTGATTTATTTGTTGAAAACCATTTTTTCCAATAACATTTATGACTTTTTAACAATAGAACGTATTGAAGTTCTTAACTGTAAAAATGTTTAGAACAATATAAATCTAAAATATAAGCAAGATAAGTCTAAAAAATGTAAGATTTGTGTACATAGTCTTTCTTTCAACAATAATATTACAAACAAAAAGATATCTCTTAAAGCAAAAGATATCTCTTAAAACAACAGGAAAAGAGAAATTTCAATAAAAAAAATATACACAGATATAATCATCTAATAACCAATTTCTTATTTTCTTTAATAATTGTAAATTGTACACGTTCACTTTTCATTTATTTATAGAAATAACTTAAAAATTAGTCTATTTATTTATTATTTTTCATAATTATTCATTTATAATATACATAATATTTTCATAAGTGAAATTAATTAGCTGGTTAGGTTACATATGCATATCAATCAAAAGTATTGACATATTTACGTAATTAGTAAAAAAATCTTGCATTTAATATAATTTCGTGAGAATCGTGAATAGGTCGCGAAAGTATACGGTAAAGGTATCGATTGTTAGTCGAAGAAGATTCAACGAAGACGAAAATGTAACGACCGAATGGTCAATACCGATCTGAAGTGCTGATTTCTTAGATTCAAATCTACACCCACCACATGGATAGGGGTACGTTACGATTTGCGTCGATGAAATTCAGAAGGTTTTCCGATTTGCTGAGAGGAGGAGTAAATCAGTGATGGGGATGATTCGGGCGGTGGAGATGGAGGGGAAAGGGTGGGGTGAGGTAGAAGGGGGATATCCGCAATTCAGTTCGCGAAGCGGCGTAACGTGAAGAGGAACTAGTGTTCCGCCTTCGATATCGTTACGTCGCTATTAATTTCTCTCTTCGTATTCCAGTGTCTCAGTCCGTTGTATTCGTGTGACAACTGAAAAAACTCGAAGGATATAGATCCTCTTCACAAAAGAAGATCAAATATTACAAATGGAAGAAAAAAACGCACGTTGAAAACATATACAAGGTCTATCTCCTCTTTTTTTATCTTTTTCTCTCTCTCTTTCCTTTGACTACAACCCCTTTGAGAAAATCTTACGGTCGACATAATCGACTTCTATATCTTTGGTTTTCTCTTTTCTTTTCTTTCTCTCTCTCTCTCTCTCTCTCTCTCTCTCTCTCTCTCTCTCTCTCTCTACAGCTGTATCATTCTCTTCTCTCTCTCTTTCTCTCTCTCTCTCTCTCTCTCTCTCTCTCTCTCTCTCTCTCTCTCTCTCTCTCTCTCTCTCCATCCCTCTCTCTTTTTTCGTATTTCTTTTTTGTTTTCTTTTCTGTTTTTTTCAATGAAATTAAAAAAGCTCATACGATAACTCGCGTTTCGATAGACGGTGTGATTTGACCGAAAACGAAGAGGTAGGCTTCCCCAAACGCCGACCTTATCGATAGTTCACCAATCTAATCGACGTACACGTAGTCCTTTGGAGAACGAAGAAGAGTGTGAGAAACGGACGATCTGGACATGCCTACGTTGGTGCAACCAGTAAGTACATATAATATCCTTCCGATCGAAATGTTACATTTGTTTTCGAGAATTGTACGAAATGGCATTTCATTTTTCTTTATTACGTATGTTTTACAGGAATAATTACGCTTAATATTTGTCGTCTTCTTTTTAATGATATGAACGATTGTCAATCGATTTGAAACAAACATTAAACATAAAAGATATGTCCCCAAAGATAATAAACAAACGGAGTAAATCGTTCATACGAATGTGTATGTGTATATATATAAATATACACACATACATATATTTCTTTTTCTCTCTTCTGAAATGACCACGTGCAAAACACGTTGCGTGGCCCGCGGATTGATGGACGAATCTCACCTTTATCGCGTCACGTCGTCTCCATCGTTGCGCCCTCTGACTTTTCTTCCTCTCTTTCTCTTTCTTTTCTCCTTTTGTTTCATCTATTTTCTTCTTACATTAGAAGATGTTCTTACGTTATATTTTCGACAAAAAGTCTATCATATCTATTAAGGAGAACTCTATTCGATCTACGCCGTCGCGACCTCATCGATTAAATTTTAAATTTTATTCATCCTTTTATTATATTTGCTAACAATGAGAATACGAACGACTTAGCATATTATAAACGTAAGAGCGAAAAGAGAACAAATAGAAATCTTTCCTTTTCTGTAATCCTAGAATAACCGATATGACCCGTATTTTACTTCCTCCTTCGTTACGTCACTATCTCCACGCAATTGCGACCTTCTTTTCTTTTATCTATCCATCTTTTTTCTATCCGTCAATAAATCTACGATTTTAGGGTAATCGACATTATTTAATTAGTACACGTTAGACTTGACGAAGAAAATAATGATTTAATAAGATTTATTCGAAAATTTTATTTATCTATACAAATCTTTCTATCGATAATTCGATCTTACATAAGTGTGTACTTTAATCGACCAATCGCTAAGTATGTATGTTCATTTATATTAATTTTATATTTTTTTACGATAAAAAAGATTCATATTTCATTCGTTTTTTTTTTTTTTTTGCATTATTCCCTTACTGATATCTCGTACAGCTACTTTGATTTTTTTGACCAATTATAAAAAAGCATTACTCGTTGACCAATCATAGTGTCGAAAGAACGAACGAATCACGTATATGCTATTGAAATGATATTAATTTCGTGCTAATATAAAATCATCTTTAAGTCGACGTAATTATACTATGGTAATCCTTAATTTTTAATTTAATTGATAATTGTAGAAAATCAAATGATATTCTTTTCGTTGAATCTATTAACGAGTTCAACGTATCTAAATACAGGCTTTGATATAAGATCGAGATAAGAAAAAAAAAGAAAAAACAAAGAAACCCAAAGTTTTCTCTCTTTGACTTGTGCCTACTTTGTAAAGGACTTCTTTTCTTTCTTTACCTAAACTTTACATTTATAAACATTGTTTTGAGTACTTTGTCTCACATAGCTTCCTTACTTCTTACCATATCAAAATATTACGACTTAAAGTAACTGTTTACTTTTACGAACCTTATTATTTAGTTACTTTTACGATCGTTCGTTTGATTATCAAGTACGAGATGTTGTCGAGAGATGCATATGTATTTTCGACGAATCAGCGAATTATGCGCTGCTTATGACAGGTGTTTTATTTCTGTATAAGATAGCTGTAATATGCAAAAAAAATAATTCCCATTACAATTTAATTTTCTTTGATGTCAGTATGTTAAAATCGGATATTTCTATTCCTTTAGAAGAAATAACATTGTATTCGTCTTTGTTTATGCGTACTTCATGGATAAAGTTGTTTTTTTACTACACTATTGTACCGTACAAGGAACTGATGTTAGAAACTACGTATTAGTATGTATACATGTATGTGTGTGTTTATATATTTATATATATATATATATAAAATCAGTAGAACCTAGCGCGTTAACAACGATAATTATTGAGAAAACAAAATTTCGCAGAAGTTTTCTGTTAAACCGCCTCATAACTTTGAACTTGAAAGGGCAGAATTCCAAGAAGTTTAGAGTTTGTCTCTTAAGACGTTGAATAGATTCGCTCGCTATCTCCCGACTCGAGAGAATTTTTTTTCCGAATTCCACGAACGCTAGTTGGAAGTAACGTCCTTGACGTCCTGTTTTCGTTGTTGTCTATCGAAAGCTTGTGGAGCACATTCGGTTGTTGTCGTTCACAGGGATGAGGTCGAAAAATTCTTGGGTACGTAAGCTTTCCTACTGTATCCAAAATACTTGTTTTTTTCGCGGGTTCTTCTTATAGGAGTGGATGTTATTCAAAATTTTTATCTATACGAATAAAAAAAAATACAATAGTGTGACGATGTTTTGTCCCCCCCCTCCATCAAGTACATATGTATATACTACGTACACATGTATATACTTATTTTCACGAATGAATCCATATACCCATGATCGTTTTTGTTCGAACGAAAAATTTTCTCTTGTTATTTTTTATTTACTTTTTTTTTCTCTCTTCCGCAGTTGTCTTTGTCGTACGATGAAGATGAAACGAACACGTGGGAAGGTTCGGAACGTAATGAGACGACGCAGGGTCTGCAACTGCATACGCAGCACGACCAAGAAATGCAGCAATTGCAGTTGCAGCAGAGAGAACGGGAACAACTTCTACAGGCGCAGCAGCATCGTGAAAAGACGCAACACCAGCCACGAGATCAACAACGCGAACGAGAACGCGAGCAATTGCATCAGCTACAATCGATCAACAATTTATTGCTAGACTTGCCGACGACGTCGAGCTTGTATCCAAATTATTCACATGATGCCTCTTACTCGCAATCTACCAAAAGTCCTAACATCGAAGGTGAGTTAACATATAGATAGAAGATATTTGATTAGATCATTTTTTTTTTTCCCTTTTTTTCCTTTTTTTCTTCAAAGACGTTAAGATTAAAACTTAGGTCGGATCAAATTTAATTTATATAAATTGTTGTTATATCAAGCTGGAGAAAGAAGTAACAACGATGTAATCAACAAATTGACTTCGTTTTTTTTTTTTTTTTTTTTTTTTTTTTAAATACTAAAATAAACTATTTTATATTTGGACATTATAATAATTAAGTTGCCAAAAGCAATCAATATGTGTGTTATAATTTTAAAATGTGAATAATTGTTCCGATTTTTCTTTTTATCACTAACTTGCGATTCTGTCTTGTCTTCGAATTTTTGAAACGCGTTTCTTTTGGTTTTCTTCGCACAGGGGATATGAGTATTTCAGATTTATTCGGACTGAGTTTACCTCGAGGATCATTAATGGGCAATCAATCTGTAGTCGATTCACCCAATTATCGTAATTATCAACATCATGGACAACATCGCAATCAGACGTCCTCTCATCAACGTTATCAGGTAAATCAATATTAAATGTACATTTGTAAAGATTTTATAACGTCGTTGAAATTCGTCACGCGTGCAAAAGTTTCCTAATAGATTCGTAGAAAATCTACTAACCTTGTTTTGATCATAAAACTTCTTCGCTCGGTTGGTTATTATAAATTTGAAATTAATTTGATGAACATAAACGTCGCAAAATACAAATAAAGTGTATTAAGGCTTGATTATATCTCAAGAAGAATTGCTTATTTCCACGGAATCTATGGTTACTGCGTGTGTACGTAAAAGCATTGCGATCGTTAGACTCATTTGAAAATACGATTACACATCGTAGAATCATTTAACTACGAGTCACAGGCAAAGTAGGTGGATCTGGAAAAATTAATACGATAAAACTTATATGAATAATTAGATAAGCTCTAATTGTATTCACAAAATAGTTTGTATGATTTAAAAATTTAAACATTAAAATATATTCGATACTTACATAAGATAACTTTGCTTCGAAAACATATAAAATTAAAATTAAATAGAATTAATTGATGAAGTAATTATATATTTAAATTTAATTGAAAAAAATCGACTTTTATAAATATTTATCCGACAATGATTTTTTGTCATTCATGAAGTTCCATGAAATATCGGAGAATTCAAAGACGTAATAATAATGGGTAAGGGTCGCTAGTATATGTAGAGAGCCTATAACAATTTTGGCAGCCTGTAAATATTACACGTTGGATTGCGATAAAAACGCCAAACGTGAAATAGGCAGTATTGTGCTTGAGACGTCTGGTTGCTGCCAATGCAATAACCGGAACAATGATCATCCCCATTGGAGTAACTCCAACTACCCCTTATTCTATCCAGACCGACTAATTTTTCCCAATTCAAACGGCAAGCCACCACATCGATCATCGATATAAACTGCCATTCATTTTTTACTCAGTTCTTTTATATATATATATTTGTTATTGTCATTATTAATATTTTATCGTTCAAACAAGCATATATAATATCCAATTTTGCATTAATTCTTTTTTATTTTATAATTTTCATAAAAAGTAGAAATATCAAAATAAATCTTTTTCTCTTCACTTCTTGGATACATTAATGTGTTAATAGTTAATGTATATATACATATACATGTATATAAAGGAAGTCCTTGGAATATCAAAATGCGTGCATTAGTCTCGGTTTATAATGCGAAGAGTAAAGTAAATTACATAGAAGCGACGTGTCGAAGCGACCTCGATTTCGGTAGAGCCAAGTACTTGTAGACTTGAGCCAAACGATTCTATCATGGCCTTTCTTATCCTACCTCGATGGCTTCCGTGAACTTGCTGTATTCCTAGGAAGTCGATTCCCTCGTGATAATTTGCTACGCTGTTTTGGATATACTCCAAGGATTGTGTTACGTAGATATAATATTTATTCGATCGATAGGATCTAATTGAATTTAATTAATATATCAAACAGATACATTGAAAAATGTTATTATTTTATCTAAAAACAATAGTGCGATGACAACTACGGATTTTATTCAAACTCGACTACGGTTGATGTCCCTGGTTCACCAAATTCGATTACTACTTCTGGAAGTCCAAGTACCCCTGGAAGTCTATACTCTAATCCATACACGTTTCCACAAACTGCTAACAGCTTATATTCAGGATCATCGGCAGCAAGTCGTTCGTCGCTTCAACATGTAGGTTCTCCTTCGTCACCTGTTCATTCACCATATGGCAGAGCTATTCGAGGCTCACCACCATACAGGTAATGCAGGTGTTGAAAAGACAAATGATCGTAATCAAAAAATAATCTAAACAAAAGTATATTAGTAACGTTCGATCGTACATATATTCGATTTCAGTAGTTGCGGTAGTCCTACTTTAGAATATCCTCACACAGCAGGATGCAATGTATCACGATCTAATTCACCAGCAGATTCGGAGACGAGTGGTTGTAATAGTATGGATGGTTCCTTGTCTAACATAATGGTAATCGTCAATGAATGAAATGATTCTTACGTATTATGGCTTTATAAAAATTTGAAAAAATACAATAGTATATCTTTTTTACAGAATTGTCTGTCATTAAATACGTCGTCTCATAGATGCTATCCTCAATCATTAAGATCATTAATGTCACCGGAAACAGATTTGTATGGAAACAATAGGACAGCGGCCTTGCAACGTATGGCGATAAAAAAATATTTATCACCGTCTCATCAGAATTTATCATCGTTGCATCATCATCAAACACATGGTCAAAATCGGACTCACCATTGTGGTTCACCGCCATCTAGTACCTTATTGAATTCACTTTTAAATCATGAAAAGGGTTGTTGCTCAACAGGGAATCCGCATATGATGTTAAATTCTCCTCATTTTAATATCCCTGATGCACAAATATCTTTGGATCGAGCGGCAAAGTTCCATCGAAATGCAGCTGGTACAGTAAATGAATAGTCTATATAATATACTTATTATATATATATATATATTTCGAGCTATTGTATGATTTTCTAGCGCTCTGTGATCCAACTTGTACTTGGAGCGGTGTATTGCCTCAACGTACTCAAAAACCAACAGGATATTCTTCAAAAGTATTTCTTGGTGGCCTTCCATGGGATATTACGGAATCTCTTTTGATAGCAACATTCAAACAATTTGGTCTGATTCGCGTCGAATGGCCAAAAAAAGAACAATCTACTACACAGCCGAAAGGCTACGCGTATATTATTTTTGATACTGAAAAGCAGGTATAATATATATATAATTTATATATTATAAAGTGCTTTACATTTATATATAATGATAAAAATTAATTACAAATATGAATATTAGGTGCGATCTTTGTTGGCCTGTTGTACGTATGATGTTACCAACGGCGGAAGTTGGTATTATAGAATTTCTTCAAAACGTATGAAAGGAAAAGAAGTATGTTACGTAAGAATAATTTTCTATAACATTTTTATTTATATAAATGTAAATTAATATATTTCGTTTAAATATAGGTTCAAGTCATTCCGTGGAGTCTTAACGACAGTAATTACGTTAAATTACCATCACAAAAGCTTGACCCGCACAAAACAGTTTTTGTTGGTGCGTTGCATGGCATGCTAACTGCTGAAGGTTTAGCGAAAATTATGAATGATCTGTTTCATGGCGTTATTTATACAGGTATTTTTAAATTGTTGTAAAACTCAACAAGCGATTATTAAAATATTGTATATAATTATATAATGATGATAATTGTTTTACCTTCAGGTATTGACACTGATAAATACAAGTATCCAATAGGATCAGGTCGCGTTACGTTTAGTACGAAGAGTTCGTACAAAAAAGCAGTATCAGCTGCTTTTATTGAAATAAAAACTGCTAAATTTACAAAAAAGGTATATAATAGTAAAGAATATAATAGTAAATAAAAGAAACTATAATTAATAATTACAATATTATATTCTTATATATTAGGTACAAGTTGATCCTTATCTTGAAGATTCTATGTGTTCTGGGTGTTTCGTCCAACAAGGAACTTATTTTTGCCGGGAAGAAGTAATTTCAAAATTTTTATTACATTTTTATCGATTTAATAAAAAACATTCGTAACGTAATTTTATGCTGGTTTCAGATATGTTTCAGGTATTTTTGCCGTAGATGCTGGTTATGGCAACACTCTATGGAATCAATGCGATACCATAAGCCTTTAACGCGTAATTCTAAGAAAAGTCAGGTGATTGAATTATCACCTAATATGGGTATTAATTCTAGTTCCCGCACTTCCAATTTTGGTATTTGAAGGAATTATGAAAGTGTATTCCCCGTGCAGCCACGTTCAGTTCTCTTTTGACTATTTGTTTTGATATGGACGTTGCACTGGTTGACTTATTGACAAGGTATAATGTTAGTTTTTATTATAAAAAGCTGTGGGCAGCTGGACCGATGATAAAAAGGACGATATATCGGAAATTCCAGCTTGTCCGCAAAATTACAACGATTCAGTTGTTATCATTTGTGAATGTGGTTTCCCGCTACATTCGGGACAAGCATTACTTTTATTTAATATGTTTACTTAGGGTCTGTTGCTCTTGTTAATTATTTTACTACGAGAAAAGTAATCGTGTCAATAATTCGCCAGAATGCACTGAGATTATACGTAAGGTATTTGCCTTTTCGTTAAATTTTCATATAAACTGAATGATGGCTTTATGGTGTTAATATTGTTTTTTTTTACACGACAAAGTGAAAGTCGTTAAAATGTATAGTGATTATGGATAAGCTTAGTTGAAGCTTAGAATTTCTTCGCGATACTCCTGTCGTCATGATAATAACTACTTCTTGGCAGAAGATTTACGCTTAATTGTTAATTATTACTTTAACGAGACTATACATTTAGTCCTTTTTTGATCGGGCGAATTAACAATTGTATTTGTTACTTTTTTTGTATGGTCTACTTGATATATAGTATATTGGTGAATCGATTTTCAAGAAAGTATTATCATCCAGTACGCAGGCCGTTCTTCCAATTCGAACAGTTGCCTAGCAATAATACCCACCGTTAGTTTTACTTTATATTATATAGTGTAGAAAAAGAATACCGATTCGTGCCCACTGTAGTTAATAATTTATATTGTTAGTTGGGAAGCGGTAAGCTTTTTATAAGTCTTTATCCGCTGGGACTGTTTAACTGTTGACGAAATGGAGAAGTACACGGTCTACGATTCTGGTACGCATTATAGTGAATTGATTTTGTTTTTATTTTTTGTTACTATATTGCGTTACATATATTTTCTTTCGATGAAATATCGCCGTATATCCTTTACCCGCGTTTCTCATGTTTTGATATAATTTTGTTGAATTAATTAAAAGTCATATTTTTGCAAATAATCTTATGCTGTTATTTTTCTTTCTTTCTTTTTCATAATTTGTTGTTCTTTTTGTTCTCTTTAATTAGTAAAAACCTTGAAATAATATTTCTTATCCTTCCTAATTTCATTCATATCAATATCCTTTATCCTCTATCGAACGATATTAATGATATATAATCTGATATTATTGCTAAAAAACTTGTTTGCTTTATTTAACAAAAAAAAAGAAAAGAAAAAAAAAGAAAAGAAAAGAAAAAAAAAGAAAAAAAGTCTATTATATTGTTTTTATTCGATATATTTTTATTACCTATAAAATAATTTCAATGTAACAGTTTTTAATTTGAAATTACGTTGGTGCCTTTGATGCATACTACAAATTTCTAATGTAATAATGGCATTCTAATAAAAATTAAGCATTTCTAATAACTTGTCCATTTCACCAATAACTAATCGCGCCTAAAACAGTAACGCATTGTTAATGGTAGAATATTCATGGGAAAAATGAATGCAATAGAAACTAATGTTGAAAGAATATAAGACTGTTCAGGAAGAAATTCTACTATATAAAATATACTATATAAAAAAATTCTTTTATAGAGTAATATACAAAAGTCACAAATACTCCAAAAACTTGAACAGATAAAAATACTATGTATTATGTTACAATATGTTAAAGATGATGAAGGAGTGATAAACGTGGTTGTTATGTAAAACAAAATTCACGTGAAAATTGTTTTAACATATAATGTAACGTATTTAAGATGCATATACATGTGTATGCTTTGATCAGGCTTCCAAAAGACTTAATGTTAGGATTATTTTAGTCCATAAGTCATTTGCTAGAACAGAAAGTAAAGTAATGAGTCTATACTTGCACAAAGTATCGAGCTATCATTAACAATTAGAGAATTAGAGGTTGACACAAATTTTAAAGATACTCTTTTATCTGAAATGTCTCCTTTACAAACTTTTAATATGTCGTGCCTTTTAATATAATCTCCTTAGATTTTATTCCAACATGAGAGAGAAATAAATTATTTTTAAATCATTGATACCATGCAATACACAGGGTGATTTAGTGTTAATTGAAAAAGACTGTTATTGGTATGCATAATGTCAAGCTTTCCTAAAACTTTTAAAGAATTTAATCAAACTTTTAAAGGATTGAACTATAGTTATTGAATTATTTTAATTTTCATGAAAAAGTGCCTCCTATTATTTATTTTTATTAATAATAAGAGTTAATATGAATATAATTTAGAACATTATATAGCAACAGGATAACTATATCACAGACACAAACATTTACACAGCAGTAAACATTGCAATGAAAACAAATTCGATACCTTTATCTCGACTATGAAGAAGCTATAGACAATATTAGTAATTTATGACGCTTTAGCTTTTCGTATTGTAACCTCGTTCAACAGGTGCTCTGTATTGAATCTGATTTATTAAACTAAATAAAGTGTTCTTTAATAAGCCCGTTGTTTCTTTGTTGTTATCAAGTGCTATTGAAATGTTACAAATAAAACTATGATTCAGCATAGAAGATAAGATGATAAAACATATTCTAGTTTATTATCTAGTTTATTAAAAATACATTTTCATATCTAAATTTCATTATAGCACAATTTATTATACATCTTTATACAAATTTACAAAATAGTGATGATATTACTTATTCATTAATCAATTAATTATATAATATGATATTTCAATGTTCTGACAATTATAACTTTTTTTTTTGCATTATTTTTTGATGCAATGCTCGGTAAAGAGAAATGCAAGAGGATATAGTACCGAGTGCCCCAATATGCCATGTTTTTAAAAATCCACCCCAAAGTATTCCACTTGGAAGATAACTGACTGCATAAATTATGTCCAATATCAAGCATAGTGATGTTATTAATTCTTCTTGAATAACATGGTTAATTCTTTTGTCTGTTTCACTGTTGAAATATTTATTATTTTCAACATTTAAAGAATAGCTATATTTATAAAATTGTCTAACTTGTAAAAAATATACTTACTTCGAGTTTGCACACATTTCATTTCCTTGTAATTTGTTTAATTTCAATAGACTTATTTTTCTCAATGACCTGAAAATAAATTATATAATGCGATAAATAATAGAATACATTATAAAATCATATGGGAAACAAAAATCTCTCATTCCAAAAATATGTTTGCTATAAGTCTTAACACAAATGTTTTTTTAAATTATATATATATAAAATTTTAAATAAAATCTTACTTTGTTAAAGAAAGATAGAGAGACACTACCCAAAGCCATATAGTAATATTATCCCATTTAGCAGAATTAAGTGAGACAATTTGATTCTCTCCAGCCCAACAGATATGCTCTATAGGACTAAAGATCATATCCACGGCGATTTGTATCAGTTCTATACTTCTAATAAACCAGTCAGATTCCTATTAGATCATATATTAAATTTAAATGTCTCTAAAAAACATTATAAAATTGCTATTTATGCTAAATAATAAGCATCATATAAATGATGTAGTAAGTTTGATAGTACATTTAAATATGAATAGAAATGAACTTACTCTTTTATTATTACATTATATAACATATACCTGTTTTCCCCATCCATATTTTCTTGCATAATAAAATATTGGTAAGTCATCTAATAAACGTAAAATCACTCTACATTCGCTTATTTTACTACTAAATGTTTTCAATTTTGCTTCCGTTATTTTAGATGTAGTAACCACTGTAGTTAATTTTGCTATGTATGACAAAGTTCTTAAAATTTTATCCCGTCCATGGTATGTATCCAAGTAATTTGATAAAATTTCTACATCCATATTGTTTATTTTGAATAAGTAAATTATTAATAAATTATTTTGTTCTATAACAAAAAGTTTAATATAATCATTAATGACAATTTTTTGTATAAAGAGAAATTAAATATTTCGTTCTATTTTATCATATGAATTTAAAGGTACTTACCGACGAATGTAATAACATGGATTAGTTATTTACAGTTATGCAAATTAAGAAAAAAATTAAATTGTTGATCATAAAAGTTAAAAAGTTCATGAATTTTATTTCCTACAGAAAGAACAGAAATGAAAATTATCATTTCAGAATACTCATATAGAGCACGACTTTCTATTTTTTATTATATCATGGGAAATCATCCGACACCAATTTTAATTCCCTTCATAAAACAATTATCTTTTAAATAGCAAATATTTAATCCGAAGAGAACAATGGTCCATTCTATTTTCTCATTGGCTGACAATGATTCAGCTTGACACATATATATATATAGTTACTATAAAAAACACCTGCATCCACATTTGATATTATACATTTGTATCATAGATACGCTTAAGATCGTTATCTTTCGCCACTGATAATTTAATTTTGTAAGTGAGAAATCACATAGAACATAAAACACATCCATATGGCTCGTTCGTAATAGCACTAAAGGAGTAAGGATAAGTAGCCATATTGATATAATTCGAAAAATATCCAAACTGCGGCGCGACAATCGACGTTAACGTTTGAAGCAAAACGACGCGCTTTGTGATTCGTGGACATGATGACGTCAGATTTGGAAGCACAAGCAGTGAGCGCGTTTTAAAGCCGAGTAGGGCGTGAAAGTGTGTGTTGTGCCGCTTGTTTCGCTCCGCGTTTCTTCGACGCACCCGTACCTGGAAAATATGTGCAAATAATAAACTTACGCGTTCGATCCACCCTTCATCTTCGCGGTTACAAGAGACAATTATGTTCGGTGCTGCATTTACGTGATCGACAGTGAAAAAAGGGATACGATGTTCCGCTACATTCCAATTTTTAAAGGGTGTAACAGGCAGGTGGAATACGTTGACAAGCGTCATTGCTCTCTGCCGAGCGTCCCCGACGATATCCTGAGATACTCGAGGAGTTTGGAGGAACTTTTGCTCGACGCAAATCACATACGCGAGCTGCCGAAGGTAAGTAATTATAAACTCGCCGCATGCCAACTTTATCGCTTCTTTCTTTCTTTCGCTCTTTCTCCTTCGCACCTCTCCCCCTCTTTTCTCTTTCGTCTCTTTTTCTCCTACCGCCTCCATGACGTCTCCTCCCGTTGCGCTACAATAGACATGGAACGCTTACGACGTAATTCTTCTGGAGACGATGCTATGCGTTGTCATCATCCTATATGTTTCTTTTCTTCTTATCGGACTTACCATGTCAATACGTTAACACCGATGTTTCCTTATCTTTTTCAGAACTTCTTCCGTCTTCAGAGGCTTCGAAAGCTCGGTCTCAGTGACAATGAAATTGGTCGTTTGCCGCCGGACATACAGAACTTTGAGAACCTCGTGGAGTTGGACGTCTCTAGGAACGGTGAGCGGTATTTTCATAAACGCTCGCTCGAATCAACGTTTAAAATGGAGGAAATAGAATGGCTATAAAGAAGCTTATATGCAACAAAAAAGCATCGATCGACGGCATTCCAAAAAGCAATAATGCCATATACCGGTTGAGCGTTTCGATCGTTGGAAGATCGTGCACGAGTTTTCTTTGAGGTTTCTCTTCTTTCTTTCTTTCTTTCTTTTCTCTCTCTCTCTCTCTCTCTCTCTCTCTCTCTCTCTCCCTTCCCTTTATATTTTTCTGTCTTATTCCTCCAGTTACCTCTCTCTCTCTTTCTCTCTATGTCTCTTTCTCTTTCTCTCTCTCTCTTTCTCATTCTCTCTCTCTCTCTTTCTCTCTCCTCTCCCTCTACTTTCTAACATGTTCTCTTTCGAGCACGATTCTTTTGCACACTCGATCGGTTTCTTTCTCGTCATGGAAACGATCGACGGTGCTCTTCGAAGGTTTTAAAGAGGAAGCATGTGTATAGGAAAAGTTTTCAAGACGCGTCAATAAAGATAAGAGAAATGTCTCATGTATGAATATTTGTTGTGCGATACGACATAACTGATAGTCATAGTTTACGCAACAAAAAGGCGGGACTGAACGGACGAGTTTCATTAACGGGACATTATCTTTACTCTCGTCGTACTACGATTGAGAGCTTTGGAGGGAGAAACAGAGAAAAGACAGACAAAGAGAGGGGGGGAGTGATAGCGTATTACGACTTTGCAGTAGTATTACGAAAAGATGCAATCTTCGGGTGAACGATACGACCTTTTATTACGGAAATCACCTCGACTATCTTTCCAAGACTCCTTTGGTCATATATTATTTTCATGATACGTTTTATCGTCTTCATTCTTCGACCTGTCAGTAGCATTGAGTCATGCCAACCACGTGTTTACCCGGTGTGTATGTATATCTGCTGTGTAGTATGTATGTCGGTCTGTCTGTTTATCTGTCTGTCAGTTATCTTATACGCAAAACGTTCCCTGCTTCATGAACTTTACGCAATCGCTTTTGATATTCAAGAACAACATCTAAATGACAAGTTACCTTTTAATAATTTCTTTTCAAATTCAATGGAAAACCATTAATTTTGTTATCTTTGATTTATTACGAATGCTGCCCATGATTAAGAAATTGCATTTTTATCAAATTCTATTCTTTAATCTTGTTATCGATGTCTGATATCTAAAAATACAAATACTGTTATAAAAAGATCGTTCTTCCGGGTATTGTTATATCCCTGCATTTCACTTTTTATTTATTTTTTTTTTTTATTTTATTTTTTATTATAAAATTATAGGAACATTTACTCCTAGACACATGTGGGTTATGCCTGTACATATGGGATATTTTTATTTCTTTTTTCTTTTTCTTTTCCTTGTTTTTTTTTCTTTTTCTTTTTATTTTTATTTTCAATGGAATTATATTCGCGTGTCATGGTCAGATGTTATAATTAATCGAAATTAAGATTGTACGTATACATATAATAATTGATATAACATGTTGCATATTTATCATACTCGTAAAAATTATTTCACAATTACTAGGGTGTAACAGGTATTCATCGAATCGTGTTCCATACATATATATGTTATACTCCATCCTGTTCACTTTCTAACAAAGATTCACCGGCTCGTAAGAGCGAAGACATGTTGAAACGTTTCCATTGGCTTCCTCTCTCTCTCTCTCTCTCTCTCTCTTTCTCCATTCCTCCTTCCCCTCCTTCCCCTCCTTCCCCTCCTTCCTCTCTACCGCGCGTTTATGGCTACAGGTACTTTCTTAAGAGGGAAGCCTTACCTTTCCTTTCCTTTCCTTTACCGTTCCTCATCGGGTTCATGCACTTTGAATTTACTTACCGTTTCATCTCAACGTTTTACCTTTGAGTCTTGACGTTCATTTCTTCTTTTAATTTGACTTTGAATGCTCCTAGCGTGCATTACTTACACATGCACATGATCAGTAATTGCTCTTTCTGTTCCGTTTCATTTTGACTGTAAGTTTATCAGAGAATGGGATAAAGTGAACAGGAAAAAACAGGTATAAAAGTGAAAAATTATGAATATGTGACTTTAAAATTCTTCGCTTAAAGAGAGAGGGATAGAAGTGGGGAGAGGGGGATAGGAGTGGGGAGAGGGAGAGAGAATATTATTTCGTTCTATATCAGGTTTATTTCTCACCAAGTTCTCCAAACTATCCGTTGAAAGGCCGTTTCGAAAATAGGAAGAAAATTTATAGCGTGATTCAACGTGTTCGTGTGTCTTCCATAGATTACAGCGAGTCTTGATTCTATAGCGTAGAAAGTGAAATATTTTTAGACATAACACATTCAACAGAAACGCAGACTAATTTGTTCTGGCCTGATAGAATGTTAATCGTTGAAAAACACAGGGATCCCCATGTGAGCACGTAGAGATTTTCTTCGTAATGGTAACGATACTAGATCGCTATAAATCGTTTTTCGATAAACAATTTAGCTGAGCTCATCGAAGAATGATTCGGAGGACTCGTATAATCGTTCTAAACGAGCTTCTATCATTTAATATCTACGACATACGACGTATGTTGATTTACTATTGAATGAAGTTTGCAGTTTAAACTACTTAAATGGAAGATGCATTGTCGGTACAATCGGTTAAAAAGCATAGATAAAGATTATTGTGGTATTATGTGCATGATTTTATTTCAAGATTATGACTGTATATTTAATAGAATTATCTTGTATTTTAATTTATTTTATTTTATTTATTTATTTTCTTTTTACTTTCTCTTCTTTTCTTTTTTATTATTTCACTAGGTAACATAATCTTCGATTTACTGGATAAATAATATTGCCCAGTACTTAAAGATAATCCATTACACGAATTATGTTATGAAAAGTTAACATTTAATCGATAATTTTCTTATTTTTTATTTAAAAACTTTTTAAAAATAATATAATTCATGCCTTTTTCAATATTACTAGGGTTGCCCAGTAATATTGAAGAAAAGATTAGTTTAAATTTATCGTTACATTATCGGTACCGTTCCAAGTCTTTTAAATCGTTGTGTATTATATGCGTTAATCTCGACTTAAAAGCAATCGACGATAATACTATTGCAACGTATATAGTGATATTCGAATGACATATGTATTGGTACATCAGAATACATCCTGTTATTTTCACTATCGAAAAATCATCGTCGAAGCATTGATTAAACAAAGAAATCAAATTCATCGTTAGAAAATGTTTTATTTTTGTTTAATATTCATGTATCAATAATGATATCCTACAGTGTAAAATCTATAGAAACAAGAAATTCTTCATCGTTTCAATATTTTATTCATAATCATATATCTAGTTTTGTAAAAAAAATCTTAAAATAAATTATCTTTAAAATTAACTAACATTCAAATATATATATATATATAGTATAAACAGTCGATGAAGGTAATTGTTATTTAAATTAAGAAGATGAGAGTTTGAAAGATGAAAATACATTTGACTAAGACAAGGAACAATTTCCTTCGATTTTTCAGAACGATATGTTCGATAGAATGATCAACAACTTGCATAACGATCGTTCGTAAACCTGTGACGGCTTTTCTCTCTCTTTCTCTCTCTCTCTCTTTATCTATTTATCTATCTATCTATTTGTCTCTCTATATTTCTATCTCACAATATCGTGGATAGATCGTTTATGTTCCATAAAGAAGTAGAAACAAAGGGAAAGAAAAAAGGTAAGAAAAATTAATAAAAAACAATGAAGGGTAATTGTCGATTCTTCTAAAGCTTTATTGACGGTCACTTCTACTTAAACACATCCATTTTATTTTTGGCCTTACTATCAGCATATGCCAAGCTAGTTGGTTCTCTCTCTCTTTCTCTTTTTCTTTCTCTTTTTCTTTCTTTGATAA